GCCCCGACGCCCACCCCCACGCCACCCACCCTGACCGTCCTCGTCCTAACATCCCCAGCTCCCCCGTCCAGCCGGGGTGCAGGTGTGGGGATGTGTCAGGCCCAGCTGTGTCCTGCACCTGCCCTTGTGTTGGAAGAGGGAGACACATCACCTCTGGCCTGTCCTCAAGGCCCATCTGTCCCCTACGCAGCTGTCCTGCGGGAGCGCGTCCTCATCTGGGCTCCGTGCCTCCCGCAGCAGCTGCCCAGGGGTCTGGCGTGGACAGACACAGGGCGAGGGGCCCATCTTTCCTGCGAGCCCAGACCCCGGCACAAAGCTGAAGGTGGCCACACAGCCCCTGCGCCGGGAAACAAAGGCAGATTGGCCGGAGGACGCCGGCCCCCACCAGCCGGGCACTGCCGGGGTGCAGCTCGTGTGGCCCCGGCTACAGCTGCCAACAGGCCGCGTCTGCGCCAGCAAAGTCCTCCGATCCCTCGCACCTGTGCACGTTACGTGTGGGTGCGTCTCTTGTGCTCCAGAAAGAAGCGAGAAGTAGACCAGGTGGCAGACATCGTCCGCCTGCAGCCTCGATCGCCAATCACACGACTGCGTGTCCGGGAGCCCCTGGGGCCAGGACCACACCTGCCTCTCCCGTGAGATCCGGTCAGCACCCGGCTGCCCGGGGGGCGACACCGGGGCAGCTTTCAGCAGCGCCGACCCTGGGCGGGGGGCTCTGCCAAGGGCTGTCCTTCACCCACCAGGTGCAGGGGCGCCCGCCCCGCCGTGACCGCCCCAGCCCTGGCGGAACACTGCACCATCGCCCCGCCCAGAACCACTGACCCCAGGTGCAGTTTGAGGCTGAGCTGCCTCTAAGACCTGTCTTCTCTGCAGAGCTGACGGATAAATAAGCACATTTAGCAATTAAGTAACGTCCTAACTAAGGCGATGTGCTCAACCTTTATTTCCAATTAGCAACACGAGACTACATGACCAGAAATCAACCTAAGAGGAAGCCGCGCAGCAGGTGCCGTGGCTGCCCGTAAACGCCTGTCTTGGGAGCACCAGCTCAGCCCGCAGTGAGTCTGACAAACACAGCTATTTCATAACGCAACGTGTGTCAAAATCACAAAGGAAGTGCGCGCTCTCCTTTCCGTACAGGAAATTAGAAAACAAAAACACCACTTAGAATTCTTCTGTTCATAGATGATCTGGAGCAGTAACTCACGGGAGCACGGTGACTTTCTGGCCGAGACGGAGCCTTCAGAGGCAGAGCTGCCGCACCTGGACAGCAGGCACTGGGCTGCGGCGGCCCCAGGAGGGCTCTGCTCCCCACTGCAGGGCATGGCGAGGCCAGGCATCTGGGGGGTGACCAGGTCCTGAGGGTGGAGCCTCGGGATGGGACCGGTGCCCTCGAAGAAGGGACCAGAGAGCAGCCTGGCCTCCCCACGTGGGGACACAGCAACAGGCGCCCAGAGGAGGGGGCGCGGGGCACACAGGCACCCAGTAACTAGCTCAGGCTTGAGGCCACCAGCGACGCGGCTGCACAGCTCTGCCACGGTGGCTGCAGCCGGGCGACCGTGGACCGGGGCTCACGCTGTGTCCAGTAAAGCTCTATCTGCAGAGCAGGCCACGGAAGCGCAGGTGGCACGTGGCACAGGCGCAGAAACACCACGCTGGGGCCAAACCACAGGGTGGAGAGTGACAGTGACACGAAACCCAAGAGAGGATGCCACGGAACAAGGCCATGACCAATTTCGCCGAGAGACAAGGCCACAGATGCGCCCGTGGGAGCCCACGCCTGCCATGGGAGGACGGAAACCGTGTCCAGCACCAGGGTTACCTGCCGCAGGCTGCACCACGGGGCCAGACGAGCACTCGCGCCACCTAACG